TGCATTGCGTCAGACCCAATAGTAGCCATATCCATTCCACTAAGATCGACAGTTTACGCCTTTGGTATAAATGATGATGAGTAGATGATCGAAAAAATTCTTTTTTCTGAAGAAGCAGCTAACTGTAAAGTTATGGAATCAAGGCCACTTGATTCTACCTTCTAGCCTTTTTCGCCTAAATAATTTCATTAACCGCGCCTGATTAATGTACACATAGAAGGAGTCAAAAATCTAAGGTTGGACAACTCAGACAAGTCAGATACAGTGTTCTTACTCTTGACTGTCACACGCATTCGCACCGTTCCATTCTTTATAGATGCCAAAGGAATCCTTTGTGCAGATCACGGCTATATAGTAATGGTGGCCCTCTAAGCATCTAGAAACGGTCAGACGGCACGAAGGCGCCATGATAATCCAAAGAAGGGACAGGATATGGTTCCTACTTGCGGCATCAAAAATTTTCTTTGGTGACTGTTTCAGAATTAATTGTATAATTATTGATGCATTAGCAATTTTAAGTCGCCCGAAAATCATTTTTTCTATTTACGTTGTATTTCTTTCATCATATGCAAAAGGGCTGGGATAAAGACATCTGAAAAGCATTACTAGAAGGAACATAACTGGCATTTAGACAGTTTTCAACTGCTGTGCCAGTGAACTGTTCATTCGCTGGTACTTTGCGCACTTGAACTTTTCGGATTGGGGGAGTAAAGAATGCTAATGGTACAGGCTCAGCACGAGCGTTGGCATGGTACATTTCACATCCGTCTATTACTGATCGAAGCTACCGTGAGATAAAATCCAAATTAATGTCTGTAGCTTCATCACTGTCTAAATTCCGTGTCGACACCTTACAGCTGTGCTATTTGACTGGATTGTACTTCCTTTATGATCGTCACTGGATGACCCTAGAATTGACAGTCATACTGGGTCTAAGTGTTAGAACAGGATTTCTTCCCTTGTGTGCTTTGCGTTATCCACTGGCTCAACGGTGCGGCATATCATAGAACTTTGTGACAGATGTTACGTGACAGCTGGCATTGCTCAAGTTTTGTAAAGATAATCTTTGATCAGGAGGTCAGCCACTGAGACCACCTCGCTGGAAAGACTGGCGTGAATCAGAACAAACAAAGGTGCATACTTGAATAAGAACAGTATTTTTCCACACCTTATGAACAGATGATATCTGTTAGAATGAATAAGAAATGTTTTCCGATCAACGAAAAACTGAGTTGCATTCAAATTAGAAGATAAACTTCTACCAGTATTGATGACGAAATGTGTCACACTAAAAGAAGGGACGAACGAATCAATTTTATCACTCGAACCATAGTTTCCGATGAACCGTATCATCTCTCGGCATTATATATCGAAAGCTCTGGATAAGTTCGACATGACTTTATAAATTGACAGAATATCGAGATGGCATTATTAGAATCATAGTGAATTCATTGGCACAAGACGAACTGCCACGTCAAAGCATGATTGCCAAGGTTCTTCATAAACATCGTCCTCATCAAAATAACGTGTAACATAATGAATACTTTCTATGAACTAGAAATGAGCCACACCACTGGATGATTCTGAAATGTAGACGTTGGAATAAATGAAAGGTACAACGTTAACGTTAATGTGCTGATGTCAAGATTACCAGTCGGTTATCAGGGGGGATCAGTGCAAAGTTCAGTCACAAGAAGCATTAGCATCAGAAAGCACTGCCGTCCATCTGATCCATTCTAAAATGACCACACCAAACTGCCATGCTGTCCCAGCTGTTTGCAAGTCATTGGCCACCTATGACTGACCCGAAAAGGGTTGGTTGCACTAAAGCAACGTGGGGTAAATTCTTTGCTAAAAAGAATTGGAGGTTAAGTTAAATTTGTTTCTTCTATCGGAACTCAAATCTGTGCTCACACTCGACCTCACTGCCACTTAGCTACCACGTCCAAAGTTTTTCTCTGCCTGTTTTAAATATCGAACGTCAAGCAACAATAAAATGAGTTGCGAGCAATAACGGAGAGGCAAAAACATTCTCTGCGCAAACTCTGATTGGTCCAACTGATTGATCTCTGCTAATACAAATTAGCGAGTTTCTCTGTGCGCAAAACTATGGCGATTTGTCGATGCTATGCTTCTCGCGAGAGGAAGCGACTTTATATCTCGATTCTGTTGCGCACAGCGTTCAGTGGTATTTGCCAGATTTTCGCGATCGTCAGCTGGTAAACCTTTGGTCACAAATGTATGTATGATTAAAATTACTGAAGACATGGTCTTGTCCCCGGTACATTTTAATGTCAAGTTCCATAAAAGGAAAATTACACGAGATTAGTCTTTGAAGCGATCAAGCTATCACTACTTGACTGGCTAATTGAGTGATAC